TACAGAAAACTGTGTTGTATGCAAAAAGTCTGAGTTCTAGCTTAGAAGCCCATTGCATAAATACACCTTGTGATAGGTTTAGGGTTTTTCAATTATTCATGGTATAGACCAAACTATGGCCCGCGGGCCACATCCGGCCCGCCACTCAATTTCACCCGGCCCGCCGGACAAAATCATGAAATTAATAAATAATTATTTTATGAATTGCATCACATAATTATTAGAAGCTGGTGCCTGCTGACTGGTGGCGCTCAGCACGAGTCAGTTTTCCTCTCTCTCAATAGTGTGACGTACAGATACTAATACTGCTAGGTATGTGTTGTGCATTACAACCAATCAGTTGTGTATAACTGTATATTATGGGGATGGAGGCCGATTGGGGCTTCACTGCTTCTGTTTCAGGGAGCACAGCTCTTTCATAATCCATTTGACTGCAATGCTGAATATCTTCCAACTCAGTTTCAAGTGGAAATTATTGATCTCCAGACAGATGACAGACTGAAGAATAATTGTAAAGAAGGAAATCTGATTGAGTTTTATAAATGCCTACAGCCAGATCAGTTTCCAAATTTGATAAAGTTTGCTTGTAGTTTTGATTCCATTTTTGGTTCAACATACGTGGTAACATGTGTGAACAAACACTTCCCAAAATGAAGTACGTGAAACCTAAATATAGAGCAAATTTTCTGATGATAACTCGAAATAAATTCTTACAATTGGCTCATCTAATCTGGAACCGGATTTTAATTAATTTTTGAAGTCAAAACGACAGCATCATTTGACAGGCATCATGACAGGCATCTATTTAGTTTACCCCGATTTTTTTCCAAAAAGATGTTTTAATATTTCTATGTTTATACTTTAATATTTGAGTAAATAAAATTACTGGCATTGATTTTTTTATTCCTTTGGCCCGCATAAATATGGGAAATATACAATGTGGCCCACTCATTGAAAAGTTTGGAGACCCCTGGTATAGATGCTACAGGCTTGTTAGTGATTTTGGTCCTGTCTTACCCCATCTGACTATACAGCTCACACAGCAATTGGAATTTGAACACAAGAGTGTTGGAATTACGAATTAGTATAGTTTGAAGCGCGACCCGAATTAGTCTTGCAAAATGCCAAATTTAGTCACACACAGTGTTGCACTGTGTCAAAATATATGAATTTGGTAGGTTTGCATTCTAAAGGCTTTTAAATAAATATGGCGACTTTTTGTGACATTTCATTGTTGCTGGCGCGTAGTGCAGTGTTTGGAGAGTGACGTAAAGAAAACAGAACTCGAGTTGCGCAAACGGTGATTTTTTTATAGCCCTTCATTTTTTGCTATGTCCTTAAAGTGTCGGAATATACCGCATTTACCCTAGGCTAATTTGGCACATGTAAAAAATTTTAGTACCACTGTCGGGGAAATTAAATTTCCACTTGGGAAGTTAGGTCTGGCTGGTCTGACACTGACAGTCTGACAGTACATACTACATAGCAGCTACAGCCAATCCAGGCCCATAGTGGCAAAGCGGAGAGTATTTCAGACTCTCCAAGTTTAATATTAACTCCTATAAGAAGACCAGCAAAGTATCATGGATACCAGCAATCCGGCATCGCCATCATCATAGCCATAGTGGCAAAGCAGAGAGTTTTTTAGACTCTCCTATCATACTTAAGAAATTGGTTTAAATCTTGAGTAGATGAGGAAATTAAAAATGAACTGATTCTAAAAAAGCTCTGGTTTGCCACTATGCATCATAGGGTAAACGCGGTATATTCCGACACATTAAGGACGCATCGAGAAATGAAAAATTATAAAAAAAAACGTATGTGTTACGTAAGTTCTGTTGCCTTCACATGACTCTCAAAACACTTCACTACGCGTCAGCAACAATGAAACGTCACAAAATGTTGCCATATTTATTAAAAAGCCTTTAGAATGGAAACCTACCAAATCCCTATATTCCATCACTTTGTGTGGCAACATCCGACACGTGGTGAGTCGTATTGCGTCAGCGCTTCAAATTTAACTGATACGTATTGCCGACATCCACGTGTTCGAATTCCGTTTGCTGTGTGAGCTGTATTGGGATACAACACGGCTTTGAATTAGAACACTAATGAATATTGAACACTACTTAATTACGTTTTAATTAACAGCTATTAGGCTTTTAATTAAGCAAATTTCAATTTTTGTACAAAGCTTTGAACGATCTGTGTGTGTCCAATTCAAGTTGTGTCGGAATTAGTTTTCATGTGTCGAAATCCAACATCTCAACTTAATCATCTATTAATTTATTTACGACTTGAAATCAGCGAATACAAGTATACTTAAAGGATTCCTAATATATTCACAGACATATTTAAAAGTCTCAAACCATAATATTCTTCCTATAAAAACAGTTATTCACTATTTGGTAGAGCCATGTCAACTGTCAAATTTGACACATTTTTCGATGATCTCACCACGTGGCATGCATTGTCTCTCTTTGGATCTCAATATTTTCCCGCTAGATGGCCAAGACCTTGTGTTTTTGCAGTATTTCGACACGCAAATGTATGACGTCACCATTTCAACCATCAATGAACGCATGGAACTAAAACAAAGCTTAATATAAAGGAAAAACTAGAGGAGTGACGGAATTACCTACGATGTCGGAATATACCGGCAGGCTGGAATTCTAAGAATGGAAGTTCACTTATAAAAAAGCTTTCCACCCAAGGTGAAAAGCTTTCCTTTGATGCAGTGCTCTGCCAGGTTACTGACTATAAATGTAAAGATGGATCATAAGTGGACAAACTGTTTCAATTGTATAGTACATCAGGTTTGTTATAGAATAATTTGGATGTCTCTTGTTTGATTATTCGATAGTTAGAATTTTCCAGACCCTTTGTTTGTAATGATCAAGTTTAAGTTAAGTATTTAGTTAACCACTAATAACCAGTACTGTAAGTGTAACACATATACCATATTTGGGGGCGGGCATAGTGGCAAAGCAGAGAGTTTTTTAGAATCTCCCTCAAGTTCATTTTTGAGTCCTATAAGTAGACCAGTAAAGTATCCTGGATACCAGCATTATGATACATAAGAAATTGGCTTGAATCTTGAGTAAATGAGAAAATTAGGAATGAACTGATTCTAAAAATGCTCTGGTTTGCCACTATGGGGGCGGGGCTTATGGACACAACCAATCACAGCTTGAAAGCATCTCCATCAGCCAATCACAGCTTGAAAGCATCCATATCAACCAATCACAGCTAGAAAGCAAAATAACATTACAATTCCATTAACCAATCACAGCTGGAATTCTTAAAGGGATAGGATATGTACATAATTGACTGAAAGTGTAAAGTTCCTGGCCTTTCCAAGCTTTCAGGTCCTGCTTTCCAATATGCTATGTGTACTGGTTAATTTAATATCCCTCTAGAATTCCACATACCGCGTTTACCCTACTAGCAGCAGGCCAGCAGCCAGCAAATTCCTATTCGAAGATTAGTCAGATTTTTTCAAAAATTCCAACAGCATGGACCAGGAGAATGTCAAAATGAGGGAGTCTTGATAAGTTGATGGAATTACTTATTAACCCAGCAGTTTTGCAAGCATCTTGTTCAATGTATAAACTAATTAGGTAATCTGCTGCTCGTAAATTTTCAAAGATATTGAGATATTACCTGGCATAGTGACAAACCAGAGCTTTTTTAGAATCAGTTCATTTTTAATTTCCTCATTTACTCAAGATTTAAACCAATTTCTTAAATATGATAAAGCTGGTATCCATGATACTTTACTGGCCTACTTATAGGACTCAAAAATGAACTTGAGACGGAGTCTAAAAAACTCTTTGCTTTGCCACCATGTTACCTGGCTTTCATTTTCAGCTTCATCAGATGTTCATAATTCATAATCATACAATATACATGAACATGATACATTACCATTATTTTTATTACCAATTACTCCAGTCTCCATGTCCAATAGACCAATACTCCTTTAAACATTCTGAACAGACTGAACTAAACTTGCAAGTTTGCAACTAAATGAACTAACGCACTGAGAAATTTTATGAAGAAAGACCAACTCTGAATTAAACAAAATCAAGGTATTTTACACGTTACGATGCAACCTTCAGACAACTAGACGCAAGTGAATAAAATTATTGAGCAACTCTGACAAGCATGAGCAAAGAATGTGACTCACATTCTCACAACGGAAATAAACAAGCACATTCCAACAAGCCCATTTCTTTCCGCAACAACTGAAGAAAATATTTACAGTTAGTAAAAATTTGGGATATTGTGCAAGTTTTCACACTTCCTCTGAACAATAGGTAAAACCTCGCTCTAAACTATGAGTTTTTTTATTGATAAAACTGCTCAGTGCAATCAAATTTTATTCTTTATCCGTTCTCAAACTAATCAACATTTTATTCACAATAAATGCACACAAAAAATGTTCGTCAGCGTTCCATCAAAAAAATTAAAAACGTATACTTTCACTGCTCAAGTTTTGCTATAATAATAAAGGGTAAAATATATATGCTGTTTAATGTTATCCTATGATTAAAACTTAATCCGTATTTTTCTAGTCCAATGACATATGGTGACGTTCCTGTTAGAGAAGACCCAAAGTGCAATGGTCTGTAACAAGAAGTTGCTGTACAATATCGATCTCTCCTAACCTAAGCCTGCAGCCAGACAGAATGAGCCACAATCATTTTAGTGGAGCGAGACAGAACCAGCCCTAGCACTCAACGTAGTATAGTCTTTATAACCCGGCATGGCTCTACCTCCAAACCAACTCCATTTTTTCACAGGTAGTAATATTAAATTGATGGTGGCATTAGGCGGTGCAAGCCCACAACATGCATCCCCGCTGGACGACCTGACAGCGTACGTTTTTGCAGCGCTGATGACTCCAAGAAGAGGCTCAAGCTAATTGAGACACGCAGCGCATTGGAATAACCAACAATAAATAATAGACCGGGCAACATTGATAATAAAACAGTTAGTGTTCACAATAAATTTTTGATAAAATTTCACCGAAGTTCATCCGAATTTTGTGGGACGCTTCCAGAAACATCGTTGTTGATGTCCAAATCACTAAAAGGTTGAATCTTGAGCCATCAACACACCACAGAGTAGTATTATCATCAATATAATTTAATATGTACAAAGGGTATCAACACTCAAAGAAGTGATAAAAAGCAAGTAGCACCAATGATGACAATAGATGCCCATCCTGACGTTATTAAGTGCAGCAACTAGTTATAAATGTAATGACATACATTTTTACTGCCAAGACAAAGACTCAACAATAAAATCTATACATTAAATAAAATCGTAGTGTATTCTTCACCAACAGTTGAGTTACTGTGTGAAAGAAATTTCGCACGACAAATGACAGAAGTTCAACGAGTGGAGTCATGACGATCAATCATTTTCAGCCACTTAGTTAGCTGAAGCCAAGCATAGGGGTTATTAGCGTGCCCTTTATACCAATATATATTCATGATGCAGTCTAAATCGCCGTCCATATTTAACTGAGTATCGACGCAACACAAGAAATAATTCAAGACATGATAACATCTGAGAAGAAAAAGTTTCAAACTTCAATTAAATTGAATATCAGGAACCAATTGAACGAAAGAAAATGGTATATTTCAGCAAGAAATATGTCCGGATACGCTGCGAGTTGGCATTCATTACATAGACAACAGAAGCACAACAACAACCTCCTTAAAACGGTTACATTTCCATCATATATTGGTAGAAAAAAAAAAACATTACTTCGACAGAAAAGGCAAAAAACGCTAACAAAATTTCGTCTGAAGAAAGCCATGTTCCTGTTATTTGGAAAGATAAAACCTGAAATATGTGTTTAAACTGTAATTGTACAATACTCAATTATGTGGATCATTTTCTAAATAATATCCACAGGACAGCAAATAAACACAATTTTCAAGCTAGCTTATAATTCATACGAGATGTTGTAAGGTTCACTGTAAATATACTTGACAGGAATATGTAGACGTAACAAGTATTCATCAAAACGTATAGTTGCACCCACAATGGCCGCTTGTTACTGAGAATGCTATAAGTTTATAGCGCAGAAACTATTGGACACTAAGCATCGGTGGTGAGATCATGTCATTCAGATGAAACAAGAACAGTATAGTCATTAGTCTCATTACTCAGGGTCGAATTCGCAATTGATCATTAATTATAGATAGCGGAAATTGCACATAAACGCGGGAACATTTAATGCTTTCTCAACAGCCGGAGTAGTAGTCATGTCTTCTTCGTTGGCCATATTCAATTCACGAAGCCTAAGACATCAATAAAGGCGAAATTAAATTTCACACAAGACAACTTTTTAAATTTATGGCTTAAATTTCTGCATTAATAATAACATGTAATTTAATTGCTAGACAAATAAGTGTCAGTGCAACAAAATATTAGTTAAGTAGGAGAAAACGATACCCTCCTGAGCAGAAACGTCTCAAGCAGTTTTCTTCGTTCCTCTCAAGAGTTCATGACTAAACTGGTAGCACGAGTTAGTTCGGCACAGGCTCAAGCTGACATTGCAATATTCATATTCTATACCAATTAGTACACAGTCGAGCTTCTAATTACACTTCACTAACAATTATGAACTAAAAGCAACCTTCGAGCAAAATATTCAAAGATATTGAATATTGAAAAAGATATCGTCACACATGTGCAGTTTACGCAGCGAAATAGCACCCTCAGTCATATGTACTCGCGAATCGAAGGTACTCGCGAATTTTCATCCTTATCATTCAAGATAACATTCCCTAATTTCTGTCATAAAATAATTTCGTTTGAAGTTCAGATGTCTTTAAACAAAGTAGCCGATGCAACAAAGTATAAATTGCATAAGGCCTACAACTAATGAGCCCACCCCTAGCAAACAAAACTCGTCACTGACGCCGAAACGAAGGGGCGATAAACTGCGACAACAACTTGGTCTTAACATGAAAGCATCAAGAAGACTTGATGTCGATGAAAACGTAACAACAGTTTAAACTCTTTATTTAACCAACACATTCGATTTTTTTTTTTTTTTGTTTTCGTGTATCCATACACGTACAAGGCGGATTCCTGTTTTCATTTTAGCAGTCCTTGTATCACATGAGAAAGGAGTGTTGTAGTTCAAAGGAAGCTAGTTACTCCGAATGAAGATTGAAAAGTTTGGCTACTTCACTGAGATCGTCATAACTCTTGCCTTCCTTGAGAACCTGCATACAGAAATAATTATTAGTGTGGTAGAGAATTACATCGTCAAGAATATTTAGTATACTAGATCTCAATGAAACGCATTACCGATCGCGAGACTCAAGATCGCTCAAACTGATTTTTACCAAAATCATCCAAGTATTCACACCCACAACTTTTCATGAAGATGACGCAACTTACCTCAGTAAAATTTGTAATAAAACCGATACACGGAGGCACTTTCGTGCAACTCACTTTTCTCGCGACGGGCATTCTGTTGAAGACGTTCCAGAGGAGTAGCCCAACGACTTTGTTATCTCTAAGGTAGAATATGACGCCCTTGCCGTAGTTCTCTCCCTCGGCGGGCGGGTGTGGATCACTCGAATGCTTCAGAGGTGAGGAAACGATCGGCTCAGCTCGACCCTCAGTAAGAGACCTGATGCTCTCTCCCGTCTCCTCCACAACCGCCTGAACCATCGTGGATAGAATGCTTATGGTAAGCCTAATGCACGAATGACATTCTCATTTGTAGGTCGTGAGAGAACGGCCATAACCATAAATTCTTAAGATAACTAAATAAATTTATCACAAAAACCAATACAAAATTTTTTTCCGATTAAATTCCTGTTCTAGTTAATTAAGTTTACGAAATACCAAACCAACATCATGGAAACCTTTTAATAACGTTGATGTAGCCTAAAAACGGAACCTAACAGTCCCTGTACAGTCCTGACTAGGAGTCGCACGCCGTACTATCTAAACTCCCATAGTACACGTGGTGGCCGATTTCTTGTCCGTAATTGGTGGATATAGCTTGAAAAGCCGTCAGTGATTGGCTGACGGAGTAACAATCTATTAAATCTTTTTTACAGTATAGCTACTCGCTGAACATATGAAACCTATTATTTGCAAAATATCCGAGATTATTCTGCAATGAAACAAGTCAACATAATTGAACCTTGGGGGAGTCCTTGGCAGTAGCTTTAGCGAAGACCCCAACTGTGGGGAGGGAGGAGTCGATAATGCCTATCGCCTCGTAACCGACGTCTGGGCCCAGGTCAGACCAGAACATTGACTGGTGCCAGTACGGCTTGCCTGGAAAACCGTGAAAATGCGAGGAACACTCATTGCTAGACTACGATCAGAGAGATGTTCAATTTCTTTCACATACATTTCACTTCAACCATAAAGGCAAAGGAATTCAAAGAACATAGTCTGAATGTCCTATTAACACGAAAAGGCAAATGCCAAAAACCATTCATGCAATTTGCGCATAAGACTTGTGGACCAAGCTACTGCATGAGATTCATGACTCACGATTGATAGAAGAGAGCTCCTGATTTAGGTAAATAATTCTTGACCTTTATCAGGAGTAATGGTTGAAATGTAACAGCATTAAATTAAATCACGGAGAACTAAGACATTGAGGATTAAATAGACATTAGTTTCACAATTGAATAATACTACTTAGAAAATAAAGTCTCTAATCGCAGTCAATCGTCGTTCGTTGTTAATTTGTAGATCCGAGCGCAGAAGCGCAAGACTCACCGGCACCGGTCATGTTCTCGCCGGCGAGTCTGCCGCTGACGATGGCGTGATCGTGGTGCTCCACTCGACGCCGTCCCAGGTGAACGTCATAGAAGCAAGCAGCGTCACCTGCCTGAAAAATATTTGAAGGGAAATTTTGGAGGAAAAATACTCTTGCGAACTGAAGAAAATAACTAAGAATTGAAAATGATGCAGTAAGTTAATTCCTAAAACTATTCAATTAGATATGCGGGCTTGAAAGTAAAACAGATCATTTCAACAAAACGTATCATAACACATGCAATTTTTGTCTTATGACACTAGATTTTATACAGCAAACACGTCACAGTTCAAACATCACATTGTAAAAACGAAGCAACGACAGAAAATGTTTGCATGCAGATGCTAAAATACTTATCACCTATGTAATGAAATTAAAGGTATATAACCCACGGTAATATAAAAGAATAATGGCGTTGTTTTACCTTTGGTGCAGTTGAGCACTGAGGTACTGCAAAACTTTACCGTGCTTTTCGGCCCTACCATGTAAATAATTTAATCCAGCATATTTGGTTGGGCAACTATATTGCTGGTCTTTATTACGCACCACCCAGAGGTTGGACCTCGCCTCCAGCTCAGCATTGACTCTGAAGCCTCCCCTGCGCTCGTCCAATTCCAGCCCTGATGTTAGACCAAGCTCCGTGTTTGGAGAAAGTCCCACAGCCACGACCACGTGGTCTGTTATCAACTGCACATTAGAGCACACGAATCAAAAACATAATGATGAATTGTGAGGAGCAAAGCCAAACGTAATCGCGAATAAATTAATTTTGTAGGCAATTGTTTCATGGTTTTGTTTGTTATGAAGTCTCTTGTAGCAGAAGGCCGTTGAGATTTCAAACCTGCATTTAAACACGTGTTGCGAGTAAAGATAGGCTGCTCACCGACTTGCCAGTGTTGAGGTCAAGCTTCACTCTGCCATCGCTGGTGGTAGACGCATACTTCACAAAAGAATCGGTGATGACGTCGACGCCTTCGTTCCTGACTTTGTCGGTGGTCCAACGGCACAGATACTCGGGCAAAACCTTACCCATGTTGCCCGACTCTGGGAATACCTGCGAGACCGACCCTCCCACCTTCTTGCCTAAAAAGTTTTTTTTCCATTAGACACGATAACAATGTTTCTCTAATTATGAGTCAATTCGATTGAAATCAACCTTAGCGATATAAGGAAAAAAACGAAAAGTTTTGAAACATTCATTACCACATGTTAAGAAGATTAATAAAACTAGTCTAAGATCAAAATCCGGCATAACTAACACACTCCAAACTGAGTCAATTCAGGGAAAAACGAGACACTAACTCTTGTGGCCAATAGCACAAGCAAGCTCAGAGCCAAGGAAGCCACCCCCGATGATGGTGACATGTTTGCCCTGCGAGACGACCTGCTCCAGCCTGCGGTAGTCTGCAACGCCCCTGAACAGCGTCGTCTTCTCCACCACCGCCGAGCCCGCGCGGTCTATCACAGCCAACGACTTCGGTTTGCCTCCTGATAATAAAACCGTTATCAGCCGATCACTATGATGGGTAGAAGATGAAAATTCGCACATAATATAGTATGATTTTGGTATGTAAAATAGCCGTATCTTTATTTTGCATCTTTACATGAAGAGAATATCTATTATAAAACGGGGAACCTTGGTTTCTCCTCTGATGATAATTAATTGGAAGAATAACTAATTGCTAATGTCCAATAAGAAATTATTTCAATAACTTGGCATGAGCAACTCTTCAAAAGCCTAATTCCGTGGTTATGGAATTTTAATCTCAGAATACCTATAAACGGATCTAAATAATAGGAATTTCTACGGCGCACCCCCTAACTGCCACAAGGCATGTAGAGCCTCAGGCCTCCACACATTTGTGATACGATCGCAACTCGCGAGAGGAGTCTCCTCACCCGTGGCTATGAGGCACTTCTCGTAGCGAATGGCGGTGCCGTCTTCAAGGAATGCAGTGCGGAACGTGGGGTCAAGTTTAACCACTGTGACGTTCTTAAGCAGCGACACGCCACCGTTAGGACGCGTGCTCAGCTCGCTGGTTGGCGTGTAGTATTGTGGATGCTCGAAGTAAACACTGTGATAGAAAACAAACTTTCTATTACTGTCTCTATACAATTGCTGCCGGTCAACCTTAACAATGATTCGACGGTTGACAGTAAAAAAATTACACAAACGTGGGGGGAATGAATGACATTTTTGAATATGACAATTAGGGATCAGAAGTTCATCAAACTAGAAATTGATGACACTCGTACCAACAGAAAACGAATTAAATTGCGCAAAAAAATGACTTGTAAGGGGGTGGGAGGGCTAATTTCAGATGCTTCAAGAAAAATAATGAACTTCCATTGATCAGTTCTACATTTCAATTAATGTATTGATTAACCATTTCAAAATGACTACGAAGCGCTTCACTTTAATTTGTCAGGAAAACTAGCAATTTAGTAGTGGTTTTGTATTATGTGGGGAATAACGTACAACAGTAGCTGCTCAATATGAGATCGTCCGAGTTTAAAGCTTGATGCGTATCATGTATACACTGGTGAGGCAACATTCTTAGAAAATCCGTCGTAAAAACGCACCTACGTGATTTGCCATTCCATTGTTTAAAGTGTAGCGACTTTGGCGTCTCAGGATCATCGCTGTACCAGAGCTCCTTGCTGAGAGGAGGCCTCATGTAAGGCTCCTCGCCCTCCCCTGACACCACCAACACCTGGGTACAACAATAACAAATGTTTTAAATCCCTTAAAGAAGTGTAACTCGGGTTGTTTGCACCGAGCATCAATTGAATAATCAACTCAAATACGAAATCGTTACAAAACTTGGTTATTCTCACTGCCAGCACAATACAATACAACAATACTTCTACAATATACGATAAATTGCAACCATTAGCAGTAACAACTCACACATCTAAGACACAAAAAAATAGTATAAATAACTATCAGGTATATGAACACAGGGATAACTTCGAAATGCTAATGAACATTGACAGTAATATTTTGAGGTACCTATGACCTCTCGTAATAAGCAAGCACTGGATTGTAATACTAGAGCAAGCTGGAGTTAAATAATAGGATAACAAATATTGAACCCATGGCATTCAAGAAAATTTTTGTGAAATTATGGCAAACATGAACGCTCAACCTTGGCTTTAGGGTCAGCAGACTTGATGGCTCGGAAGGCTGCGACGGAGGAGGTACCGGCGCCGATAATTAAGTAAGGGACATAGCCTGGCACAACCTGACCTGCCAGTAGGGAAATGAGCATCAATAACGAATTATGTAATTATTGCTTCAATTCGCACCGAACGTTGATGACAGCTTCAAGACTTGCAACACTCACACTTGAAATAGCAGTCTGCTGCAATAAATAATCATCAGCAGAATAAATTGATGATAGGATCTGAACAGACATTAGAATTTGGAACCCAGATACAAACTGAGAAAGTTAAATTGGCAGCAGCAGAGAAGGCAAGATTAAGGTCTGGAATTCCAAAAACAGTTAATTTTTAAATCTACTAACCATCTTTAAGTGTGGTGGGAGGAAATTCTTCATAAGGGTTTGGAACGGGAACTGCTTTTTCAGGAGCGGCTGCAGGTTTTTCAGAAGCCTTAGATGCCTTCTCTTCAGTTTTTGATGCAGTTGTCTCAGCTGCATGAGCATCAGCTGCGGGAGCAGCAGCATCAGCTGCGGGAGCAGCAGCATCAGCTGCGGGAGCAGCAGCAGCTGCTGTTTGTTTGTTTGGTTCGGCTTTTGGCTCAACTTTGGGTTCCAGTTTAGATTTCTCTTGCACCTCAACTTCGGGTTTAGTCTCAGGTACCTGGGGTTTAGTTTCACTCTTTGCTGGGGCTTGAACATCAGGTTCTTTAGATGACGTGACAGGTGGAGGGGGTAGGTCTAGCGTAGGAGCTTCAAAATGTTTAACCACAATTTCCGAGTTTGACAGAATGGGAGGGTCAAAAGTTCCTTTGTACTCAGGACGCAGATTAAAGTTAAGTAAACCTGTCTGCTTGCCCTGCAAGAAAATTAAGGTTTTTCAGATTAGTTTCCAAAAATTATGGACTGAGGGGAATTCTACATAGAAAATGGGAGACTTACACTTTTAGATGGGTTTGTAGAGCAAATAGACTAAGATTTGAGCAAAATGTTTCAAGTAATAATTTTTACACCCACCATATATTTCCTAAGTAGCTCGGTGAGGCATCCAATTGGGCAAGCATGGGGGATTTAGAATTTGCCAATTACAATAGGGATGTTGTTCAATGTTCAAAGGGGGATTCAGGATGTTTTAGGCAAGGACTAACAAAAAAAAAACTTGATACTTAGATAGAAAAGATTGAACATTTTGAGAATCAATTGTTCAAAAATGATAGTAACTTGACTCACAGAAAATTAATAACAACAGCAAATTGATTTAAATTTATATTCTCATTGATGGGCGTGTGAAAAAGAAGACTAATATCCTTAAATATCCTTCACATAGAAGAAGAAGGATATTTGATGCAGAAAAAATTAAACAAATAAAATGTTCCCTAACATCAACCAGCCAAGTACATTAAAAACTTATCACTATTTTAAAAGATACAACATACACTTAGTTTGCCAGAATTAAAATAAAGTTCCTCAAAGCACTGACATTGCATGAACAAATTGGACTTTTTTCCACCAGAGAAGTTGATGGATAATTGCTCTTTATAAGCTAAGGCAATTAAGCTGGTCAGTTCTTTCATTTGAATACATTATGAGAAAGATTTTCCAGAATGAGACTAGTGACAAATATAGTACATACCCTAAAGATGGATGTGAACAAAAATTTTCTCTTGAGAAGTAGGAAAATTATACAATTATATTCTGCACCCTTTAACTTCAACAATTCAGAATGTGAAATAATTCTGAATTGTATACACAAATAAATAGTGCTGCAAAAGCTGCTCAAATATCTTAATTAGCATCATTGCTGAGCATCACAGGCACTTACCACCAGGAGTGTGGCACCACAGAAGGCCAGCCCTCCCATAAGAAGAGCATTGTATTTCTTCTGCTTCCTGGCATATTCTGTACTCCAAGAGCCCTGAGGAACAGGTAAACTGTTCATGGTGGGGGGCTTGAAGTTCTTGATTCCATAGTTGCTGGCATTGCGACCAAACACAAGTTCTGCACACAAAGCAAAAACTTGTTACATTAACTTCCCACAAAATACATGAAATTCCCACAAGTCCATCTACAATGAGATAATTTTAATTGGCTAATGATGCACAAGTTTCTTCACAATAATATCATTTTTTAACACGTTTTTCTTAGCTTAGCTTTGCGTTTGTTTGTTTGTTTGTTTATTTGTTTGTTTGTTTGTTTGTTGTTAACATTGACAACAAAAATTAGCCCACTTTTGATTGTTCTAGAGATCTGAAATTCGGCATGCAGGCTATTTTCGCCTAACAATTTCAGATAAAATCATAAAAACTAGTAATTAGAGACCGAAATTAGTTTAATTGAGTAAAGTATATATATAGTATATATATATATATAGTATGACGTGCGGGCGCTCACATTATAGACAAGCAGGCGCTAACGCTGCGTATCATCGATACGTACGTCAAGTTATACTTAATCAAGTCTTAATCGTTTTTCTTGTGGACTAAAAAGTAGAAAATAAAATACTTAAAAAAAAACTTGAAAAAAAACGTTTTTCTGGTGGACTAAAAAGTAGAAAATAAATTATGGTTCACCCCAAAAAAACGTGGGTCGTGCTGTACGTTCACCATCAAATTTCCAAAATTTAAGTGTTGTGTGCTTTTCGCTTTAATCATAAATCTGCCCGACACACGTTTTTTTGGGGCGAACCATAATTTATTTTCTACTTTTTAGTCCACCAGAAAAACAGTTTTTTTTTAAGTTTTTTTTAAGTATTTTATCTATAGTATAAGGTACCCACACTGATACAGGAATATAATAAAATACATAACCAAATGAATCCAAGGAAGGTCACATGCTTCCATTTAATTAAAATCAAATACAACATTTACAACCATTTTAGTCAAGGAGCTTAAAAAACACAGGATTAAAGACTATATGAAAAATATTTATAGTTCTCACATGCTAGGTCATAACCTTGTGAACAGAACTTTATGCTTCATATATACCGTAAACTGGGGTAACTTAGACCACTTTTTTTTAAAAAATTATGACATTTTTTTACTAGATAAGTTAAACTTAAATTGAAACATGCAAAATACGGGTCTATAATGTAGCTTCACACACCATAAATTGCTGGCTCCTGCCTCTCATAGTTTTGATGTAATTTAAAAAAAATCGATGGTCTTTTTTACCCCAGCTCTGGGGGTATCTTAGACTGTGTGGTAAAATCAATTATATTTTTTGGTAAAATAACTCCAAGTAACTCCAGGTTTTGGTGCATTATAGTAGAACTCTTCTAGTTACATATGCAAATGAAAAACTTGAGGAAAGTTTCATAGTTTGCAAATGGGGGGTCCCGCTCCCCAGGTGGTCTAAGTTCCCCCAGACTGGGGAACTCTGACCACCTAATGGCAGCCCTGACAGGGTTAACATAGACTGGCTTGGAAATTAAGTTAAAATTACCATATATAAGACTCTGTAGAGTCTGAAACCTAAAGAAAAAACATTAATAGGTGTAGGTATCAAACATGAAATGTTATACATGGTAATTTTAAATTAATTTCCAAGCCGGTCTATGTTACCCCGTCAGGGCTGACATTAGGTGGTCTAAGTTCCCCCATTGGGGGCGGCGCCCCCCCCATTTGCAAACTATGAGACTTTCCTAAAATTTGTTTGTTGCATATGTAACTAGAAGAGTTGTAATACAATGCATCAAAACCTGGAGGTATTTTGCCAAAAAATAAAAAAAAATGGAGGGGGGTACTCCGACAGGCTTTAAATAATAGCTTTTTTTTGTGGGTCACATTTTTAATTTTTTAACCTATTAGATATGCAAACTTTTTAAATCTTTCTATTGTGTTACATAGCCTCAGTATTAGGCCTTTAATGCCCATTGACAGAATTTTTCTATGTCAAATAGTTTTTGAGTTTTGGGGGTTTTTGTTAAAAAAATGAAAAGTGGTCTAAGTTACCCCAGGAGTCTAAGTTACCCCAGGAGTCTAAGTTACCCCAGTTTACGGTACTAAAAAAGTAACGGTAAAAGTAACGGTTTTACGGTACGGTAAAAGTAATAGTTCACAATGACAGATTAATTTGGAATGTGAATAAATTCCACCACCAACAGTAAGACAATTGGGCAGCCTTTTGATTCCTGCTAATTTGAAACAGAGCATGAATTTCTCACACACAAAAGTATAAAATTGAATTTTTTTCAATTGCAATACCTTAGAATGGCTTATACATACATTCATTCAAATTAAGCAGTACGTAACCAACATAAATTGGGTTGTGTTAGAAATGGCAAGCAATGATCTTTAGATAACTGATAATTATTTCATGTTAGCCTAAAAGTAAATAAGAGATCACACACAATAAGTTTAGAAACAAAGCTGACATGTAATTCATATCTAGCATAGGAAAAAATATTACATATTCTTGTTCTTCAAGTAAATTTGAAATAGAATAGATATAATTTCAACACAGTCACATGTATATATATACAGTGCATATGAAGAAAGTATGGCCTAGATTTCCTAGACCAATGTCCAATAGACACTAGAAGCCTCAACAACAAGGATAGCTCATAAATATTAATTAAACTGTAGAGGTAACCAATGAGGAAAACACAGCATGAAGCTGGAGGGACTAACTAATTCTAGTGAAATTGTAGATGTAACTTGTGACAAAAAACAGAGATACTCACTATTGCGAGGACAGCTCCTTTGAACATATCTCAATAAGACATTTTGATGAGTAGCACAAGACACTGTTCGTAAACTAATTATCATTTTGAATTGTATACTTTTCCTGGAATAAATGGGATAAAAGCTTAGTATACTGTGAGGGAATGGCTTATTGATTTATATATTTTGTGTTGCCATTCTCTCTACCATGCACTTCTTCCTAATCCCTTCTGCCTCATATGGTTAACAGTCACAATTTCCTGTCAAGACCATGCCCTTCATGGTCAGCAGTTTACTGATCATGATTACCTTTTAAGCAAGGCATGATTGGCAAGTGATTATTACCATTAGCACCAATCCAAGTGGTTAGATGAAAGGATAAAAATAAGAAGGATTAAAGTTGCATTTGAAAGAATCAAGAATGAAGGATGCAACACTTCAAGATTTCAATTAGACTAAATATCAATTCAATAGCAATTTGCCTCCAAGTCACACCCAACAAATTAACATTTATGAATTTATAACAAATCATGCCACCTATAAGAGTTGAACATGATGCACACTGTGGGAGCAAAAATAAGCTATTTAACACTTTACGTCCTGGCGTGACGAATTCGTCACACAGAAAAAAACATCGGTTTTCCAACAATTTCAAGTTTTCTGTCATTTTTTTTAAAAATTCACAGGAATAAAAAAGTCTTAGATTTATTTTTTACATATGTGTACCAAGTTTCAAAGTTATCTGTCGGTAAGTAACCGAAATAAAATTTCCAATTTCCAATGGCAATGTCCAATTTTCCCCCCCTTTTGAATTTCCCCTCCCCTTTTTTCAAAATATTTTCAAAACTATACCGAAAATGAAAAAAAGCTTCGACCAATCTCTAGATCTTTTATTTGCGAATCGAACGGTATATTACTCATTGCTGTAGCTTAAAAACTCTGGGAGGAGATAGGTTTGCAGTGACAATAAGTGTGAATGTTCAGTAGGGCGCGACAAAGTCCCGAGCCCCTCAAAATAGGCATTCAAGGTGACATAGATGCAAGACTAGACATTACTGGAGCCAAAATTCAGTCAAGGATGCTGGGAACGACTGCATGAGCACCATCCCACACAACAGCAGCCGGGTAACTAAAGAGCAGCGTCTTCAGGTTGTCTATTTATGTGCCTGACCAGTAATTTTTGCCCATATTAAATGTTAAAGAACTCCCCCACCCCTAACCCTTTCACAAACTGTCGTCAAGGCATAAATCAACATACAGAGATGATTTTGGTACCGTTGGATAGGTCAGAATGTCAGCTTTGAAGTGAGACTTAAAACCAAAAAAGTGAATTTTACGATTTTCATCCCAGAAATTCAGGGCGTAAAGGGTTAAGGTAGCAAAATATCATACACATGATTTACACAATGAAAGCAGATGTGCTACTGACTTTTTTCCAGATTAGGGTTGGCAATGCCGTACTACTGGCATTGCAACCATAATATTATAGTATGTAAGTACTGTAGTATTACAGTATGGTTATGGTAGTATGGTAGTCACAAGTATTATGGTAATTTTTACAAGTGTATTCAAGAACTAATTCTGTAATAGAAGCAACATTTTCATTCTTTTGTATGAACAGGATTAATAAAATGCTTACTAAATCCATTCACACAATTTGGGATGTATGGATGACAATTCTACCCTCATTCCTATGATGCTCATTTTTACCAGCTGTAGCTGTAGAATAAAATAAAATAAAATATTAATTAAAAATTGTAGTTATTATTTTTAATTAATTATTAATAATTATATTAATATTCAATTAATTATTAAATTAATCATAAATTGAATTATTAATTATTTAGTAACCTCATGGTAGGTTACATGCCTAAGTGCTCAATGATTTATTTAATGCAATAATTGTGGCTTTTAAACAACAAACATTTTCTAAAAGACACAAGAAAATAGAAAACTCGCAATGGGAGATATAATCATTCAGAATCTGAAGTAAAGTTATTTGGACAATGTCAATAAAATAGGGCAAAAACATGAAAAAATTCATTTCTGGATGCATATCAACCAGGTCTCATAGTGTGACACACGAGTCGTTGTAAAATTTATCTCAAGGTCATCTGGTTGTTGCCAGTAAATAGTCGATAGGATCTATGCAGTCATTAGTTGATAGGTTTCTTCAGTAGTTCAATAACTTAACAATGAAAACACTAATTCATTAATAATGAGATAACCTTAAGTCTATGTACATTATATTCTTTATATGCAACAAACCTCACGGATAACGCATTAATGGTTTAATTTTTTCAAACCAGCGGTGCCTTCTTAGGTTTCTCTACTAATGAACTCACCGCTTCACCTCAGTCATAAATATTGTGCATGAACAAATGCAAGCCTTCCTTAAAATATGAAGGTCACACCTTACTCTCACCCAGAACTGTTTACTCAGTTTTAAATACTCCATCACCAGACTTACCAAACCTAAACCTATTTAATATATGACAACTTGCATTCAAGAAATGCAAGCCACTCACAAATATGAATTGCAAATTTCCTACTCTCTCAGGAATATCCAATGAATACCAGTTACAAAGTGAACAAATTAAAACTATAAAAATGCACCTCTGTTGTTCAGGTGCGTACAGCAAATTTAAGCGTAACACATTCCTGAATCATTCATCACAGAGTGAACTTCAACAAATATAGTCAGATGGGGTAAGACAGGACCGAAATCTCTAACAAGCATGTAGCATCTATACCATGAATAAATAAAAAACCCTAAACCTCTTTAAAAATTAGCCAGAAATTCATTATTTGCAGAAGAGGGTTGAAACAAGCACTGAAATGACTGCAATGATTGCTCTAACATATTCTTCTATCAAATTAAATTCAGTGCAATTAGAATGCATGATATGGGCTGGTCCTTTCTTACCCCATGAAGGCTGCGATCCTGTCTTACCCCATTTGACTATATAGGTAATGATCTAAACATAAAAATCAACCTTGTGAATCAAGTCATGAAAAGTACAAGAATTGGCAACAGGCCATGAGCCTGTTTCTTCAGTGGCAACACTTCGATTCTATTCCATTCTATGAAGTGATGTGACTTGTTATTTTTTCAAATTTACAGCGTATTGTTGTCAAATTTACAGTATATGTTGACATAGTGGTATCATCTAGAATGGGAAATTTTAAAAGTGTATCAAGATTCCAGATGCAGTAAATGAAAAATAGAATATGCCCACTTTATTTATGGTACTATTTAATTTTATGATAGGGGTTTCTTCCCAAGGCATGTGGATGAGCATTCTTCCAACTAGGTAACATATCATAATTAAATCACAAACAAGAACTCACTAAAGCCTTTAGCATGTGTTTATATCATAGCATTTCTTTCCAACTACTGCTGCATTCTCAAGTTATATGACTGATCATTAGACTCATGACCTGTCATCCAAGATGACCAAAAATTATATCCAAACTTAAGATATGATTCCAATGAAAAATTGCAATCAAACCCTTTTCTCACATCTATGTAGTACATTTTTTGTGCATAATAATCTTGTTCACTAATTATAGGGCCATTAGGTTTTTTTCATTTTTATTCAGAAGTGTCTTAGTGACATGAAAATAACCACAACATTCATGATAATTAAATCATTATGTAAGTGAGATCCATTTGCCATCAAGCTGCCCATTCAAGCCTGTTACTCATGGAAAAAATAAAATCTTGCAGGTCATTTATAGGTCATTTATTATCAGAAGAAAATTGCATAAACAAATTTCCCATTGATTCATATTAAAGCGTGTGATCTGACTTGCAACATAATGATACTTGTATGAATTTTTCCAGTGATACGAATATCATCAATGGAATATGCGCGTGTTACAAACGTCTTGGACAAATTTGAGACCTGACATGTGGCCAGTCTCATGGAAAATATCTAAATTTAGTGAGCAAGGAATATCTCCCAAAGTAATGACCGTAGCTCAATGAAACTTGGTACACATATTCATTAAGACCTAGCAGTGATGTTTAGCACAAGAAAATTTTTTTAATTTTCACCTTCTTTCGTGAGTAATATGGCAATATGTGCCAAAATTGGCAGTTAACAAGACATTTTTAGCACATTTTCTCATTTGTGGAAAAATGCCCTATTGTGCTGGTCATTTCCCTCTGTCTTTCTGTGACTTTATGTTTTCGTCAATGAGAAAATGCGCTGTCTGTCACTCACTGCAGTGAGTACCGTAAAATGGGGTAACTTAGACCACTTTTTTATAATGATGCCATTTTTTTACTAGCTAAATTAAACTTGAATTGAAACATGCAAAATACAGGTCTATACTCCAGCTTCACTCACCATAAATTGCTGGCTCCTACCTCTCATTAGTCTTAATGTAATTTCAAATAAAATACTTAAAAAAAACTTTTTAAAAAAAACACGTTTTTCTTGTAGACTAAAAAGTAGAAAATAAATTATGGCTCGCCCCAAAAAACGTGTGTCGGGCAGATTTATGATTAAAGCGAAAAGCACACAACACACGAACTTTGGAAATTTGATGGTGAACGTACAGCCCGACACACGTTTTTTGGGGCGAGCCATAATTTATTTTCTACTTTTTAGTCCACAAGAAAAACGTGGTTTTTTAAAAAAGTTTTTTTTAAGTATTTTATTTTCTCCTTTTTAGTCCGTTGCTACACATGAAAAACGTTGTTGCGAGCCAATTTACTTGACTTGACGTACGTATCGATGATACGCAGCGTAAGCGCCTGCTCGTCTATAACGTCAGCGACCGCACGTCATACTATATATATACTATTTATATATACTTTACTCAATTAAGCTAATTTAGGTCTCTAATTGCTAGTTTTTATGATTGTATCTGAAATTGTTAGGCGAAAATAGCCTACATGCCGAATTTCAGATCTCTAGAACAATCAGAAGTGGGCTAATTTTCGTTGTCAATGTTAACAACAAACAAACAAACAAACAAATAAACAAACAAACAAACAAACGCGAAGCTAAGCTAAGAAAAACGTTTTAAAAAAGCGATGGTCTTTGTTACCCCAGCTCTTGGGGTATCTTAGACCGGGTGGTAAAATCAATTATATTTTTTGGTAAAATAACT